TTAATCGATATCAACACGATCAAGAACAGTTACTATCATGAGGAGTTTCAACATCACTTTCAGGATACGTACTGCCAAGACCGAGCACTCCGCGACATCCACTTCCAACTGAGGAAATTACATTCCAAACAAGTCCCCATTAACCTTCGTTCTACACAAACGTTTTAATGACCAACAGACGACACCTGGGTGTATCTCTCCCTACCGTCGGTGCAGTACGGTGGATACACACTATCGTCACACCGACGGCTGGAGACAAGTGCTTATCTTCGACTCCATCAAGTCCAACTGGGGCTTGTACGGAAGTGCCTCCAGGTATACCCGCCGACTTCCGCTCAGCATGTTTATGCTTTAACTCACGTGGCTGATCATCTGGGATATGTAATGGCTGTTTTGATTGATCTATTAGCTGGTTGAACATATCTCATATGAGCCATTTGGCTAATACTTATCTGGTTTGGGAGTGGGTATGTTGCCTAGCAACAAGGTATGAAATCCGATGAGATTTTTAGAGGCGCAACTCAAGAATCGATGGTATGACGTCCGGTGCAGTGAGGTTCTTAAAGGGGCTTGCGACTGAGAAAATACGGCGTGCCTTACACTTCCATGGCTTTTTGTAGCAATCTAGGTTATTTCCATGGCGCAATAACAATTCATCTATTGGGACCCATCTATACGGTTGTTACAGGAGGCGATTAAAATGGGCATTTGGTGGACAAAATGACTTGACATAAAGATGTGTGTGTGTTCGTTGTTCAACGCCGCGCTCAGCAGTAGATGGATAACATACGTATGGAAGAACAACTGTCATCTGTTTGATAAATGCCAATGAAATTATCAATGTTCATATTATCAACCACTGGCTTAGACCCGTACTTTGCGTGTAGGTTTGGTATAGGTATAATACTGTCTTAGCGGGCCGGTAGCCTGCAGGTTTAAACGTCCTCTAGACACGTCGAATGCAGGGTTCGATTCCCCACATGGGTACAATGTGCAGAGCCCTTTTCTGGTGACCCTTGCCGTGATTATTTTAATAGACGATTACATAAAGCGTCTCACTCACTCACTCACCACAATGCTGTTTTGGTGCACGGGTCTTCCAGTCATATAAGCCGCCGTAATTCGCTTTTAAAAGTTGCGTTTTTAAGTGTTCCAGAAACCCATCGTGGGTTCGAATCCTACATTCTCCCTGATTTGGTGCTTTGTCAGCATCATACCCGTGGGATTCATCAAAGGGGTTAACTTCAGGCTTTCCTCCCACATGAAGCTAGCATATGACATATGACTGACATAATGTTCAAATCGGCGTTAAACCAAACGGAATCACCCACTGTAGTATAGTTTGGCATCGATATCAAGACCCGGCGGAAACAAATATATCCAATACAGCCCCTAGAACGTCCATAATAGTGGGCAAGTCTAGATTCCTGCAGTTTCAGGCTGAGTGAGTGAGTGAGTTGGGTTTTACGCCGCTTTTAACAGTATTCCAGTTATATCGCGGCGTGTCAGCTTAATGTTGGAGGAAAGCCCGAAGTGATGCAGGTCTCAGACGTTTACCACTTCGGTGAAACCCACGAGCACGGGTATGGTGCTGACAAACATAGAAACATAATCGGGGCGAACCGGGATTCGAACCCGCAATCATAGGTTTCTGGCGTGCCTAAGGGACGCAACTCTGCACAGCAAATCGCGGCGCCTTAGACGACTGGGCCATCCGTGCCCCCAGTTTCAGGCTGAAATGAAAAGAGTCTCCTTTTTTTTTTTTATTGAGAAACTTAAGTGTTTTTTTCTGTAATATATGTTCATATCAGAGACTAGATGTTAGTCTAACTGTAGTACTGACAACGCAATAACACCCGGTCAGCTTCAGGAGCATCAGACAGTCCGGTAAGAACCCCTTCAGTCGCGTGTTTGTGTGATATGCCTTTGACCACATACACCATCAACTGCCAACATCACAACAGTGGACGTCAAGTCTAGCGTGTCTTGGTAAACTTCATAACGACAGTAATGCATTCCCCATTAGCTTAGATTACGGTGCTGTCAGGCAAGTAATTATTATCAAACATGTGTTCATGAATAATGAATACGTAAATCCACTCGTCGCAATCTCCTAGAAACGCATATGACTGCCGTGATGACAGAGTGGCCCCTGTCAGTACTCACACTAAGTATAAGCGTTGGCCGCCGTGTGACAGATATCACGGACACCAGACAGATAGATTGCAGAGCACGAACCATCCTCTAAATAAAAGCGCGACGCTTGGACAATTCCCGTTTATTTCGATGATAATACAATGAGGTAAATTAACAACTTTTGTGAGGTGGGTGAGGTGAAATGAGGTTCAACGTCGCGTCCAAGATTATTGCACTTATATAGCGACGTGCATGTACGTGTGTGCGTGTTTGTGTGGCTGCTTGTACTAGTCCGGACTAATGCCGATTTATAGTGCTAGCTCACTGAGATACCATGCCGCAGTTTAACATGAATACCCTACTCAGACACAGTATACTGACTCCGAGCCGACCAGTCCTTGTTTTAGCCCCTTAATGCCGAGCGCCATACAGGGTAACAACAAGTACCATATTTTAACGTCTTTTGGTATGACGCGGCCGGGGATCGAACCCCGGACCTTCCGCTCTCCGGGCGGACGCTCTACCACTAGACCACGGAGGCGGTCAACAACTTTTGTAGTGAGGTGAGGTGAAATGGGGTTCAACGTCGCGTCCAAGATCATTGCACTTATACAGTGACGTGCATGTACGTGGGTGTGGCTGCTTGTACTAGTCCGGATTAATGCCGATTAAAAGCGCTAGCCCACTGAGATACCATGTCGGAGTTTAACATGAATACCCCACTCCTACACAGTATACTGACTCCGAGCTGACCAGTCCTTGTTTTAAGACCTTTAATAAAAAGTACCATATTTTAACGTCTTTTGGTTTGACGCGGCCGGGGATCTAACCCTGGACATTTCGCTCACCGGGCGGACGCTCTACCACAAGACCACGCGGTCAACAACTTTTGTAGACTGGATGGGAAAGGTACTAAACGATCAACTGTGTGGGTTAAGGTATTTAGTGGTCGGAACCGCTGCACTTAAAGGGTGTGTCCACGAAGTCATTGTGACCTGAGCTATTCTTTGAAAGATCGATGAGCCTGTCTTCTAAGTCGTGGCAATTCAGGGCGCAGAGTTGTATCCCTTGGGTGTGCCAGGAACCCATGATCGTCGGTTCGATTGCCTGTTCTCCTTAATTTTATTTCTTGGTTAGTCAGCTACATATCGGTGCTCTTGTTTTTTATCATAGTGGTAAACGTCTCAGACCTGCATCCCTTTCAGGGGTGTCCTCCTATATTACCTGACACACTGTTCTATAGCTGATTTTAATACTGTTCAAAGCGGCGTTAAACAAAATACACTCACTCATCTGAATTGATAAAAAAAAGCTTAAGAACAGCTTTGGTAATCCGAACAACGCTTCTCAAGTTCTGAATTCTGCTAACTCAAGTTTTATCGTCTTTTGTGACATAACTCAATCCTCTAATCAAATAACAAAGAAGGCTCTCTCGTACAGTCTAGACAAAAGAAGACCCACAGTTGCTCATCTGATCTGGCCACATCTTCAAGACACTAAGGCGAGGTTACAGCGAGATAGACCAGTCCCAAGAGCATACAGGAAGTGGCATCTGTAGGCGCCCCATCCTTCTCCTTAGCTCTTATATGTAGTCCTGTTTCACCCTGTCCATACGTAAGTGGAATACACGGGCATAGACGGCGGTGTGAAGGATTAACCTCGATAGGGACGTGTGCTCAGCTTAATGAAATGTAGAATGCTGTTTCCATTGAGAAACATTTATAGTAGTGGGTTTGGTTTAACTCCGTTGTGAGCGGTACTTTCAGTTTTAGTGTTGGCGAAATTCCAAAGTGGTGTTGGTCTTAGACGTTTACATCTTCGGTGACACAAACGAGAAGAAACCAAAGAATAATTATGGCGCTTCTGAGATTCGATTCATGTGATTGTGACACGACATTCCAACGACATTTTTTGTATAGTAAACATGTAAAATAACACCATTATCAGTGGTCACTACTTAAAATACAATATACCCATGCTCTTAATTATAATAATAATAATAATAATAATAATAATAATAATAATAATAATTTACAACCTTTTCAGGAATTTTATATACATCGCAGATCATGACAATATAATATTATCCAAACAACACATTATTATCAATGGTGGCTAGGTTTCCAAATGTATCATTCATTTGCGATCGTTGATTGTCGAGAAAAGAAGTCTTCAAAAGTTTAGTCTTTATTTGATGTCTGAATCTCTAACTTACCCTGTTGATCTTTTATTTACCTTTTTAATGGTTGTCCGGTGTATCCAGAGATAACAGTCCATGCAATACGGTGGAAAAATGTTGCATAAACAAATTGTCCTTGGTGAGAGATTGAAAAGAAACGGCCAAACTATTACATCAAATAGCCTTTCTCCGTGTTTCATCCCTGCATTTGTCAATTCCGTTACTGCCTCCCCGAGATTTCATGTTCGCGGTGCCATCTAAATATACCTTGAGGCACGAGACCCAAGAACACAACATGACGCCAAAATTCAATAATTCCACAATGAGCCTAAATGCCACGGCAGAATATAATCCAAAGCTCGGGGGTACCATTTCTTCATTTCATCTGCCCAACGCAACACAATCTGTCTTTGTGTTAATTACTAAGCCACTAGGTGATACCAAACTCTCGTACGCTATCAATCATATCATTTTCCATTCCAGCTAATGGCACCAACATTAAAACCAAACACTGTATCCGAATTACATCAGAGTATGTCCTGGGGGTCACGCAGAAACAATCAATACTCACGTTCTATGTAAATATTTAAACATAGCATGTAAAACAACAATTATCCTCTACAGTAGTGAGCGCGAAAGCACCTCGACGCGTTACCACTCCTTGGTGCCACACGCCAGAAACTACCGCGCATGCGCACTGTTCAACAAAACCAATAACACAGATCGCGTGGTCAGTTTTGAGTAGCAAGTTCTAGAGAAGAGACATCCGAACGCGGGGGATACTCAACTTATTCAGCGTGTCACACAATCTCTGCAAGTTTTAAGGTGAGTAGATATGTTTCCAACTAAATAGGGATATCGAACGGAGTATGCAGGAATCCTCGTGACTAGACCGTAAGCAGTGTGGTTTTCCAACTAGGCCACTGTGGACGGAGTCGCGCCTTGTCACAGAGTTGCACGTTTGTTTACAACTTTAGCGTCGACAGTGTATTCGATGTGGCGGGGCAGGCCGTTATGGGATTTATCCCACGGCGATGCCAGTTAGGATTTCCGACGGACGTTGGGGTAATGAATTGATGTCATCGATTATCTGTAGCCAGACAGTGTGAGATTGATTACTATTGATACGAACTTGCTTGTCGGTCAGTTGGGAAGTTTTCTTCAGAGGGGTGACTTTATAGCCCGTGGCTAATTGCGATAGTTGAACATAACGGGATTATTTTGATCTTATATGTTTACAGAATAGAGGCAACAGTCTTCAGCTATCACATAAAAGGATATTTAAGATGCAGTGTAAGATAAAATACAATTATCAAATGTGCAGTCAAATATTATTGTTGTGGTAACGATATTGCTGAAGTACTGTCAATCTGACCTTAAATTTTCTCTCATACACTCACATACAGTATTGTATTTGTTTATTCTTTTCAAATTACTTTTTGGCAAGTATAGCACCACACTAGAAATTGGTGTTGATCTGACTTTAAATTTGCTCTCAAACACTCACATACAGTATTATATTTGTTTATTCTTTTCAAATTACTTTTTGGCAAGTATAGCACCACACTAGAAATTGGTGTTACAATCTACATTTCACCTTGTACAACTGTGCCAAAGAAATGCCTAAATAACAGTATTTTAAGTTTGTTATACAGTAAACATTAGAATTGCCCACTTGCAAGTTTTACCAAATTGTGCACTGTAATTACATTGTGGTTCAAGGGACACGGCTATGGAGATATATCCAAACTATGTACCAGTTGAAGTCTGTCTAGCATTCTGAATTATGGAGATGGCTGGTGAATGTTATGTCAGTAAGAGGATGCGTAGAAAAATGTTTCAACTGTGAAAGAAATACATGAGTATTGCCTCATCTGCAGGGAAGGCCACTGGTACCTCAGATGCATTTGTTCCACACAGGACCTATCCACACCCTAGCTGTCAGTCAACCCCACTATCTAAGTATTACAAAATCTGATAACAGTATAAGTTGATTCATCAATCAAGAAATATGTTTTCTAAATCCAGCTGCTTGAAATGGGAGTCATTTCAAAAATGACATTATGCTCATTTACCACCTGGAGAAGGAGGAATACCTGCTCTTGTCAGCAGGTATCCATGGCAAGGAGCCCAGGTGATCTGTTTATTGGACTGTCAGTCGGCAACCTTGATGAGGTCCCAGTTCAGTGATCAGCTGGTGTAACTCGTGCAAGCCTAATTGGTTTATCTATCTGTGACACTATGATCTGATAATTAACTACAGACAGCATGATATGATTTGAGTTGTTGTTAAACATTCAACCAGTTTTGAAACACATTGTTAATTCAGATGTTTTGATAAGTGTTGGTATTTTGGTTCAGCAAGGTACTTGACCATTAGATGTCTGGTTTAACCAGGTTTAACTGTAAATGGTAGCCTCCCATGTAAATGTCTAGTTTAACAAGGTTTGACTGTAGATGGTGTCCTGCCAGGTTGATGTCTGGTTTAACAAGGTTTGACTGTATAAAGTACCCTGCTATGTAGATGTCTGGTTTTGCAAGGTTTAACTGTAGGTAGTACATTACCATTTAGATGTCTGGTTTTGCAAGGTTTGACTGTATATGGTAAATTACCATATAGATATCCAGTTTAACAAGGTTTGACTGTAGATTTTGGTTCAGTAGCAGTTGAATGAATTTTATACTCTGTGATGAAGATTTAGACATGACCTCATTCAGGATTATTAATGACAAATAGTAAAGATGAGAATGGACAAACAACAGTTCATTAGTTCTCCTTTGAACAGCTTTGTCAGTTGAAGTTGTAAAAAGTAGGAAAAATACCAAATAAATTTCAAGATTTATTTCAAGTAAGGCTAACAAGCTCAAGATAATAGCTGCTTTTTCCAAGACCTGCAGCAGAGAAAGGCTATGGTAATTAATGTATCGTGGCACTATGGCAGATGAAGGTCGAACAAATGATTGAAGAAAGGAGATATCTGATCAGCATATAGAAGATTGGATTAGGATAGAACAACAGCCCTGTGGAGTTGAATCTCATTGTGATAGTAATTCAATAGGCCTTGCCACCTGCTGCAAGCATCATAATGGCAATTTGTACCCAAATTATCTTTAATTGTCCCCTCTCCAAATATGCTCATAATTTGCTGTCATTCCTAATTAAGATGTGAGTGTTTTACGGCTTTAGGTTATCCTGTTGACTGGGGGGGGAGGGGTCTTAATCCTTCATTTGCAGTGAGTGTTTTCTGCTCTGATTCCTCTGCATGATGAGAAGTGATAACGGTATTGTAGTTCACATGGCTACTTCAAAATGTCTGTATTACTAGAAGGTAATTCCTGGATTAAGAGTTGATGAGACGTGTGGTGTGTCACTGGTTTATTCCCAGTGTGACCACCGTGTTTTAATTGGTTACGATGAATATTCCCACTGTGAGCACTCATCGTTAATTGGGATCTTTAACTAAAAAAACGCGCAGAGTAGATTAAAAATGCTTTTAAAACATCTCTGGTCAGGACAGAATTTTTTTTTATCAGTACAGACTTAGTTTCTAATCCCTCCTTACTCAATTACTTAGTTAATTACGATCAGTTGTCCCAGTGTGGACGCTGTGACTTCATCCAATTCCCAGTGTGGACACTGTTCAGTGAGACGGAGGCAGGTCGGTGGCCACACTGGGAGGTTACTGTGTTGCTTCAGGAACCAGAATGAAGTCCTTGTTGAACTTGGTAACAGGGATTACCAACAATGTTTTCTGTCATATTTCAATTAAATGGTTATTCAGGAAGCGTGTATCTCCCATTATATTACGTTTTTCTCTGAATCTGTGTGTAATTATTTTAATGTTATGGAGATTTTGTTTCTTATATCCAATGTTCTCATAATTTTATTATGAAGTATGTTGTATCTTTAAGTTAAAATTTCAGATTTACATCTATCACATTAATATGTTAGTTATCTTAAACCATAGAAGGAAGAAATTAATGAAAGACCTGTCAAATAGGAATATTCACACATACAGCATTTTACCCACCAGACCAAATATATTGCAAGTATTTGTTCCATGTTTAAAATTCATGTAACCTCTCTTTCTCCCCCCCACCCAACCCCCAAATAACCAATCCCCATTTTTTAAGTTAGCCCCATCACAATATCCCTCTTTTAGACACTTGACAGTTTCACAAGGAAAAACATATGTGTGTGGAGGAAGTTCCGTATGATTGGAACAAATTTCAGTAAACGTTCCGCCTAACATGCCTAAGTTGCTTGTAAGTGTTACTTTAAATTATCAAAATGTGTCATTGCAATAAACCATCTGTATTTGCCGAAGTTTCAGATTGTACATACATGTACCTCTTTATCACAGTGAAATGTTAACTTTTACAAAAGCTCTTTTCTTGGGGGAATGGTGGAGCCCAGTGTTTAAAGGCACCACATGTTACTGTGCAGAGTTGCATCCCTCAATCATGCCAGGATCAGATATTTGTTGGTGTGAATCTGTTGTTCTCAAGATTAACACCTACCTTGACATGATCCATACCCACTCCAAATATTACAGGAAAGCGTAATGGTAAACCAGTCCATCTGCTTGCCTCAACTCCTCAAATTATGGCAAGTAAATGTCAGATCATGAATCGCTGGGATCGCCCACCAATGCCATTATAACGAAGTCGTCAAAATAACCCCAGTAAACCATGCTCCCTTCCAGTCATCAATTTCAAGTCTATTAACACCGTAACTATCAGCCTGGTCACCAGGAATAGAAATAATTACATTGAACTCAGAGCGAGTCAGGATTCCATTTGGAACACACGAAATACTGTTATTTTCTTATCAACAGTAATGACCTTACTGCAAAATTGATCATTGATTGTTGTCCTGACTTTTAGCTTTCACCAGTAACAGGTCATATGATATTGATCCACAGCAATTTTTGTCATATTTAGATATACTACATTGATTTCTTGTAACGGCGGGTCCTGAGGTTGAAGCATGAGGGACACCAGCAAGTGCCCGGGTACTCCAACGTGTAGATTACTCGCAGCGCAAACTGGTTCGAATGGATGGAAGTCATGGTACTCACAGATTATTGTTTTCCGTGTAGAGGGACAACCTTTCTTGTCGCTGGGCAACACAACGATATGTCATTGTTTGTGTAAAATATCTGCATCATTTCTGTTCAGACATCGTAAGTCAGGAGAGGCAAGATGTCGGCTACAGTTGGTGGAAGCCAGTAGCTCTTAAAGCGATCTGGTCTTGTCCTGGTCAGGTTATGGGTTTCTATTTCCGGAGATCATAGAAAGATATGTGAAGAATTACTGGTTATTTGTCGTGGGTAAATTGAGTTTATAAGTCCATAGCAGTTGCAAGGGATTAACATTAATTCACAGAACTCGGATTGTACCGCACTGAGTTACAAGTAGGTACGCTTCGAAATTCACTTTCGTTTGCTGGCCTAAGGACAAGTAAACATCCAATGATGGTAGTCCTCATTTGACTGGTTGCATTTGAGGGCTTTTATTCTGAACCACTTCTCAGTGCTTCGATTTTGCTACAAATTGGAACTGAAAAATAACTGAAAATGTAAACACAGGAAACATTTTTGTCTCATCCAAGCAGAATCCAAATAAGGTTTCCGCTTTTCCTCTCGGCTTGTCTTTAAAAAAAACATTTCTAAGGCTGACTGGTCCAGAGCATTGCTTGTCTTGGACAGAATGGATCGGGTGGTGGTACTTGTCATTTGGTTGATGGTGGGTCAACGTACCCCTTTAACATGGATTGTTGCTCATACTATCAACCACTGGTTTGTTTGATCCAGACTCAGTTA